GTATTTCTTCATTTACTGTATTTCTGTATAGTCAAGCAATCTTTCTCTGCAGAAACCTCTATGTACAGAGCATAGCCCATAACAGATGAAAGTGCTTTAGATTATGCTCAGCAGTGTGTAGTTGGGTGGTCAAACAATCTAGTGTTATGAATGAAGTGTGTTATATTTGGTGCTAAAGTTTGCATTTGGTAAGTGTTTATGTAGTTTTGAGGGCAGTTATTAATTTAGCAGGAGAAATGAGGTGTTTTGCACTTTGGGTGTGTGGTTTTGTGAATTGTGTTTAGTGTTCTGAGAAACTGAGCAATTAAAAAAAAAAGAAGTGTGTTAGCAATCGAGAAAAACTGTAAGATTTTAGCTAGAGTATAGGTATTTTATAGCTTATTTTTTAAGGTTGGAAAATATTGGTGGTCCGTCACTTCTCCCTGAAAGCCTCAATGGTCCCAGAAGACGACTCATAAATACTTTGGTCATCCCCTGACTTTTCCTATTACCCCATCACAAGGTTAAAACTTTTGGTTTTGAGTGAAATATTTAGGCAACTAATGGATGACTTGTTCAAGGCATTTTCAAGGCATTCAAGGCATTTAAGGTTCTTTCATGATGAATTATAACGATAATTATAGTCCTCTGACTTCTCATGTAACACAATCATCCTATCAGCATCAGCTGTACTACGTGTTTTGTGCTAATTAGCATAAGTTAGCATGCTGACAAACTAAACTAACATGGCAAACATGGTAAACATTATTCGTGCTAAACATTAATGCATAGCATGTTGGCATTGTGAGCTTGTAAGCATGTTTAAATGATCATTTTGCTTAAGGAACCACAGTGTGAAAGAGGGCTACAGCCGGACAGAGTTTAGCATGGCTGTAGACTCATGTTCAAGCGTAGTTTATGGCTGTGTCACCATAATCACCCCCTTGTTCACTCATTCATTACTCCCTCTATAATAATGGACTCTCAACAGTTTAACCTATGGCAGGGGTCACTTTTGAGACTGAGATCTACCTGAAGTTAAATAAATGTACTAAATGTTTTTAAGTCTTTTTAAGTATTTAATATATTTAATATATTAGTCGACTCTAAGCAGTAATCTGAAATGTTGGATACTCACCCATAATCTATAGTTTTGTAGAGTAATGCATTGGAAATTCTTGCATCTATTAAATGTGGCACATTGTGTTTTAAGATTCTTTGCAGAAAGAAGTGCAATTGATACATTTTCATCCAATTGTGGAACTTTTTAGGGTAATAGTAGACATATTAACATTCAAAATGTCAACACTCAAATAATACGATGGACTGTAAATGAAGTTAAACAAGAATTGATAGGGAGTGACATTTGCCACAACCTATGACTGACCAACTTCACATTATAGGCTCAGATACCAATACTCACCCAAGCAGGCTTTCTTGTGCTTCAAGTGGTTGTAGCTGTAAAAAGGTGATAAAGTAACACTGTCCCGTGTGAGTTCACTAGGAGTACATTTGAAGTTCATTACTGTCAATAAAAGCCATTTGCCATAATATTATATTCTAATGCTCCCTTTAGTACAACATGATATACAATGATAATCTTCAGATAAAAAAAGTGATTTTAAATTATTGACTCTGATGGTAGGTAGGTTGATAATAACTTATACATTATGATATGGGAATGGGCTGGTTGCTGCAGTGAACCTGACCCCGGGGTCAGAGGGGCAGCTGACTCTGTCCTCACATGAATGACCCGAGGGAAGGGCAACAAAGGGATAAAAAGGGGAGGACAAGAGGGAGTAAGAAAAGCGGAATGACTGTCAGAAAGGGCATTTTTCTTTTGAAAATGCTCAGTCCTCTCTGCACTTTCACTTTTCATCAAGTGTTTTGGCTGCACACGAGCTGAAGGAATGCACCGCAGGGCAGCCTGCAGCTAACCTTGACAGTGAGTGCACCCTTCCCCTCAGCATCGTCTCCCCGCCCTCCTTGCGTCCAACCCCACGTCCCAACATGTCCACCTCGGTCCAAGGCCAATATGTATCCTGAGCATCATCTGGCAAGGGTGTTTGTCCACACTAACGTCATCACGTATTTGTTTGGATGGCCATCTGGATGTGAGACTAATAATAAACATCGGTTTTTTTGTGTTGACAAGCTGCCCTGACTGATATGAAGTCTCAAACCTCTGCATACTTTCTTTGAAGTCAAAGACAAAAGTTTGGCTCCTGATCACTTCTCTGAAATGAATGGCTTTTAGAGTCATGTGCGAGCAAGACAGAGCGTTCACTCTCCTCTGTCCACCTCACACTTTAAAGCTTTACAGCTTTGTGGCTGCAGGCTGCAGTGGAAGAGAAAATAAAACATGAGCTTAACTGGGTTCACTCTAAACTAAAGCATGCAGACACTGATACATTCTGAGTTTTTTTTATCACAACAGTCTGAGTGACTGAAAATAATCTCCTTTCACTATGGATCAATCATCTCCATAAATTGCTACAACACTTTATAAAAGGTTTATTTTCTACAGGCGTTTTTTCTAGTAAAAAGGTGCCAGCATCCCAAATTAGATAGTGTAAGACTAGCTATTTCAGACCTTACCACAGACCTATCCCTCTGCGAGAGTGAACATTGGTTACTCTAAACACTTTCCATGAACACAAATCAGGCAGCAAAAACAAACTCCTCTCATTTTAGCTTTGCTACATTTTGTGGATGACATTCTTTCACAATTGTTATATATGTCCCCTTATTGAACCTATTCCCAATGCTCCCATGTGTCATATCTAACCATCATTTAGGTTTACAAATATGTCACTCTGGTAAAAACCACCCATGATGATATATTCTCAGGGCTACAATCTTAAGAAGTAAGGAAAATATATGCAAGAAAGTGAACAATCAAATTTCACAAAATGTTAAAATATCCATTTCATCCAAAGTGTCAACTTCACATGATCTTGATTGCACAGTTTCTTTATTGCCCCAGGCTAAGGCTGACCTGACCTAGTATAAATAGACCCATTTTCACATATATGTTCATATTTATGCAGCCCATTTATTCGACTTTCACACACTCACCAAAACACCCACCATAAATAAACAGAGAGCTAAAATAAATGAATTTGCTCATAAAAGACAGATGTTGCCATTGGATACAAGATTAGACTCGGCATGTAGTCTCCCCTGGGGGAGAAAGATAACACTTGCATGGTAAATGAAGTTATGTATTGGGTGTTTTGAGGCCGGGGGAACAGTAGCAGCTAGTGCTGGAGAGTGGACACACTCAGCCCTGAAGGCTTTCCACTGTGAGCCCTCAACCACATCTTCAAAATAAGGGTGATAAAGGGGCCAAATCCAAAATGTTGAAGGAAGTCCCTTTCCAGCAGCTCAACAATTTACAACCAGGCTTTTCTTAAAAAATAGCCAAGCTCACAGCCCTTCTCCGAAAAGGCTGCTGCACACAGCCAGTGTACTGTATTAAATAATCTATTACTGTAAGGCAGGACCATTGATAGTACATGTCCTGTTTCTAATTGCTACCTATAGAAACTTAAAGATCCCAGCAGCATTGAAGTGAGACACATGCATTCACTATAACAAAACCCTCCCATCCACATGCTGTTTTCATAATGGGCCACTTGAAGAAACACTTACTGTTTGCTCAGTCAGTCAGAGGTCCTCACTGTGTTGACTATTATTCTACTCTCTACAGGGTGGGCTATTTCACTGGAGGTATCAAATGATCACCTATTCTGTTTTCCCTTGAGTGGATGTCGTGGTCGAAGCATCAATGAGGCACTGTGGAGGTGTGGGCCTCTGACACGCACCCAAAAAGGGAAGCTGTCAATCATCTCCAAGGTTTAAAACCATCTCAATAATGCTCTGTCTTCTGTCAGCTTGAAATATTAAATTCTGTCTTGTGCATATAACTGCTCTCTACTGTAATTACAGGTGATATGAAAAGTAATAACTTGTAAGAATATTGATATGAGGTGATAAACTCATTCTACCACCTGCAGGCATTGATTTCATATCCCGACATGGAAGCTGTGAGAATAAAATGATGAAAGTTCATGCAACAAGTTTCTCATAAAGACCATTTGTGTACTGTGCAGGATGTTCTCAGGGAAGAGTAAACACATCCCTAACACTCTCAATTCCTGTTTGGCATTGTGAAAGAAGCTCTTCAGTCATGACAAGTTTTAAAAACCCACTCCACCTAACATCTTTCCCCTGAGGAAAGAAATAGTCGTAGGTGTGGTTGCAGCAGTGGTTTGAATGTTAACCCCTTTTTTTTTTTTTTATTCCGTCTAGTGGTGTGGAAATAAAACTCAGAGATGTTTTATTAATCGCAGAAATAGTTTGCATTTGCAGTCTGTAAACATCTGCAGGGAGGGATGATGCAGCTGCCGTGCCACATTAACCACAGGCAACACCACCGGCTGACCATAGGAAGGGCCTTTGGGAGAGAGGTGGGATTGAATGAGTTTTTCAGTGGAAAGGTTTGGAGTGCACTGAAATAAAATCTTCATGACTGACCACAAGCATTTACTCAGCCATGCAATACCAGCTGGTAACCCATCCAAACTTCAGTCTTCTTATTAATCACAGTTCAGTATAATGTAGCTTCACTTGTCAACCCTGAGATTTTCTCCGAAGCACTTACATGTAAGTACATGAACACAACATGCAGACGCTTCTACAAGTGTTAACTATCTAACGCAAACTTCAAACTAAATCAAATCCAACACACATGCTGGACGGTGTGTTCAACACAGCAGAACATGGAGTTTATTTTCATTCATAGAAGTTTACTGCATTCCACAAACCTGTGGTTGCAGGCAAAATATCGACTGCCTCTAGATGCAAGCTGAGCAAAAGGAAGGAGTCGTGCAACGGCAGCACCATCTACCTTCAGGTGAGAGGATGTGTAGAAGAAAATGTATTCGAATGGATATGGGAAATAAAAACAGAGCAAGACCTTAATTAAAGAAGGAAATGCAATGAAATAATAAAGCCGAGTATATTTCCACAAATGAATTTATTGATGCATAGGGAAAGTAGGAAGCCGTTGCCATAACTCTCTGATTCCTTAGGTTCTCATACTTTCAAATACAATGCATTTACTTTTCTCTTCAAACTATAAGTGCAAGTGGAAAGAAAAGTTATATTGCAAATGCACCCCAAATCTGCCCTCGACTGTTATCACTCATGAGTGTGCACGGAGAGATTAAACCATCAACATGTATGTACAATATGATGTACATCATGTTACTAAAGTGGGGGGGGGGGGGACATTATCTAAATCGGTAGTTATATCAGGGTTTACAGCAAGTTGCTGCCCTCCTGAGGCAAGAGAAAGACCACTTGTAACTTTGCAGGACATTCTTGAGAATAAATAATGAAATTTCAAGTTCTAGCAAGAGTGTTTAAGGACAAAATACAGTAAAGAAACCTGCTAGCAAAGTGTTCCCATAAAACAGGAAGGGTTTCCAAATGTCATAATATTTGCACATTATAGATTTATCCCCCTGCAAAGAGTTTAATTGTGGTTTATAAGTTCATGTATGATGTTTTCTACCATTGCGCAATCAACTGCTATTTTATTAACAGTTTTTCAAACCAAAAGAAAGTTCAAAAAGCTGTCGTGTCCCCAAAATCCTTGTTCCATTTGGCGTACATGCCAAGAGTCCCCGGGCTAACACTGGGCTTAATGCGCTTCAGGGAGTCCTCAAAGTCTTTGAGTTTGATGTTACGCATCTGTGGATACAAGCAATATAGAATTACTATAAATACTGTTACATAATGACACTTCAGAAACATCTTTTGTGTTGTGAGAACTGTATCATTACCTCACTAGCAGCCATTCTTCGGACTTCGTCTGGTCCCAACTCTGTAAGTGAAGATAGTTATACATGAAATAGAATCCGAGTTGATGTAGAGCCGGAAATATATATGAGCAGCACAAATATGCAACGCGTTACCTCTAATGGGTCCGAGCGCAGCGTCTTTAGCTAATGACGTGAGATCACTTCCTGAATATCCGTCGCTCTTTCTGTCAAGTTACAAATCCAGGAATATTGAATACATGAATGCACATGTACACACATAAATGAAATGTTGCAAGGGTACGGTAATATGAAAAACTCACTTTGCGAGATTGGACAGCTCAGTTTTGCTCAGTGGATTCCCATGCTTTGCCAAAAGGTTTTCCAGCAGTGTTAATCTTGTCTAGAGGGACGACAGTTAAATCCTATAAGTGCATTCACTTTAAAATATGTTGCAATATTAAAGATGACACTGATCATAGAAATGAACTGTGATGAATGTTCAAATGTGTTTACCTCTGCATCCGGCAATGCCACATAAACCCTTTTTGCAAAGCGCCTGTAATATTTACACAAGAGGAATATTGTTATTGAGCTTGTAACAGATGAAAACTGAATAATTGTGCAGGGTGTGGAGTGTCATCATTTACCTCAGCACTGCTTCATCGAGCTCCTGAGGCCTGTTGGTCGCTCCCATTACGAGCACCCTGTCGTCCCCTCCTGACTGCACCTGAAACAGAGAAGCACTATTTTGCTCAACTCCACTCGAAACTCTCTGGAGCTGGTTCACTTTGACATGTGGCTCTTACCCCATCAAACTCAACGAGGAACTCTGTTTTTAATCGACGAGACGCTTCGTGTTCTCCCTCCCTCCTTTCACACAGCAAGCTGTCAATTTCATCTGAATGGAAAAACAAAAATAAAGGTTTATTTATGACCAGCAGATGGGGGGGATAACCCGGAGCACATTTGGTCAATAAATAGACTAATACAAACCAATAAAGATGACAGAGGGCTGCAATTCTCTGGCAACTGCAAACAGGGCTCGAACAAGCTTCTCACCCTCTCCCACCTGTAACGGTGATGAAAGAAAAGGTTAAAAGAAATCCTAGGCTAAATTAAGGGAAGTCTGAAAAAGTACTCCAGGCATATTGAGCTTTCTCACGTATTTAGAGGTCAGACTGGCAGCACTGATGTTGAAGAAAGTGGCGTTTGACTCTGCTGCGACTGCTTTGGCCTTGTGAGAGGAAGCAAAAGGCAGTGATGTATCCGATCAAACTGAGGCAACACCATCAACAACATATAATTATAACAGAGCTTCTAATCGAGTGCTTACCAGCATTGTTTTCCCATTGCCAGGTGGGCCGAATAAAAGCAAACCACGTGCCGGAGATCTCAGGCCAGTAAAGAGCTAGATGGCAAAGCGTTGTTAGTAAATCTCAAATTGTTAGGATCAGTGTAAGCAGAGGATACATTTTCACAAGTGATCACCTCTGGTCTTAAGGCAGGGAGGATGACAATTTCTTGGAGTGCTTGCTTGGCCAGTACCTGTCCCGCAATGTCTTTAAAAGATACTGATGCCGCACTGAAATGAACACAGAAAGCTTTTTTAGGAGAACATTTTCCTTTTGTTTAAATATAGGGACAGCTGAAATGGCAGGTGTTGTTCTATCATTGCTTGCAAATACCTTTCAACAATTTCATTCATGATTAGGGAGGCCAGTTTGCTGTCAACATTTTTGAAGTTTCTCATATTCCTTTTTGCCGGCTGCTTCACAGTTGTGGGTTTTCCATTTTGATGTCTTCCCACCCGTGGGGTCGCCTTTGAAGGGACAAAAACATTACACACTTCATCAGAATTAGACGTATTGAGGTTACACACACAACTCGACAACTAAATGTAATTTGAAATCACCTTTGGATCGGTGGGTCTGGATGGTGGGCGAACTACAGTGGAGGGTCTGATGTTACCTCGCACGGCAGGCTGGCTTTTGGGTAAAGGATTTGGTTGTGGAAGACCATGATTGGAGAACTTCAGTGGATCGCTCCTCCTTTTAGATGCCATTGTTGCTTCTGTGAAGCAAGAACAGCATTGAACTTCAGTATCAGGTCAGATAACCAAATCAATTTAAAAAAAAAAAAAAGTAAGTCAAGAATTTAGGATGTCAACAACAACAACAACAACAACAACAACAATAGAGCTTACCTAACAGACTGAGCCTTTCTTTTGCCATGTTGAGATTTGTGACCATTTTATCTTGAAGTCTCTTTGCTCTGTCATATTGCTCTCCTGCTGAAAAAACATGGGAGTATAATGCTAAATCATGTCAACACTGCACACTGTGGACACCTGAGAGTTATGTTTGTTTTAACACACCCTGTCCCGTGATCTCTACAGCAATCCCCCTTTCAAGCTCAGAAATCCCTTTTTTATACCACTGCACAGCCTCCTCTTTCGCTCCTGTCATAACAGAAAGCGGGTGTTTGTTACAAGCTGTCACATGACACAACACATCACACAATAACTCATACACACTTAACAGACCTGAATCATCTTCGTCGATCCTCAATGCCTTCGAAACATACTCAAACGCCTGTTTATGGTAGTTTTTAATGACTTCGCCGCTGTCTTTGCTTTTACTTGCCATTGTTTTGGCCTACATCCCTATCACGTTCTCGCAGGTTGTAACTCCACGTTAGCCACTTTTAAATGAGGGCAGGGTCAAATAGCATTTATAATTCGGTCAATCCGAAGTCTTGGGTTTATGAAACAAGCCATATGCAAAATATGTACCAGTAATTCCAATGCTCATCGGTCTCATCGCAACAAAACCATTTCCAAACCTAACTTCCGCTTTCCCTTGTGTACCTCGATGTCTTCTTCTCTTTGTTTTTTTGAGGCGGTTGCCATCCAGACGTTGCATTACCGCCTCCTACTGGATAAATAATAAAACTACCATTTACAAAGTAACTAAAAGGCATTACTATATGAAAAATGGAAACTAAATTATACACATTTAACCTCTTATCGCAAATAACTAGCCTACTACCGTAATAATTGCTCAAAACTCTGAGAGGATATGAAAGGCTCTCTCTGCAGTCGTTATTTAAATGCATTTCATAAACTTTAAAGGGAGTATTTTTTATTGATACACGGTTCACAGTCCTGCAATACTATACAAACATACATACATTATAATACAATACTAATGCAATACAATGGATATTTATTGGTAGGACCACATCAAAAACAAAGCATTCCGCACATGATAAATGCCTCAATGCCTGTGAGGTGAACGGGTACAATACCACTGGACCCGCTCACTTTACGGGCAGTGCAATTTCGTAACCAAACATCCATCTTAGTAACGGCAACGCCTCTTTGTTTTTTCACCAATCACTGTCTGTTGCATAATCTATTAACCAATCAAGATATTCTGACGTCACTGTCATAACAGTTTCAGCGACGCCCCTCACCTGGCTCAACACAGACAAACAAGGAATCCTCTGATTCCGTCTGTGACAGCCGCTTTTTTTTGTCACTGCTTTTCTGGCTGTACAATATTTGCACAATATACAGGTTTTGTATTTCGTGCCTTTTCGGTATGCATAATAATAACGACAGACTGTCTAAAAGGTGACGTTAGCTGCTCTCTCCGGCAAAAACTTATCAACCGGTAACAACACCACGGCCAGCTGACGGAAACTGAGCTTGTTAGCCAGCTAGCTGTCTTTCCAGTCGAACTGCCCTTTGTCTTTACAAGCAAGTCTGCTAGCTGGCATTGTTTTTCCTCTTGGTTAGTAGACATCGGCTTTTGCAATTTCACTTTTTCTTCTGACAAAAGTTAAGCAAACCAAGATAGGCAGCTTGGGAACCAAGATGTCGAACCGAGTGGTGTGCAGAGAAGCAAGTCACGCCGGGAGCTGGTACTCTGCATCGGGTAACTGTCAATAAAGCACCGTCCATGTTAGCAGGCTGTGCTAGCTGGCTGTTTTTTTTTTTTCATGGTAGTTTATTGGTTTTGACGGCTCTATTTTGCATTGCCTTCATTATCTTAAGATCAAAAACGGTCTAATGAAACGCTTGTCACAGCAGACGATGACTGTTAATGTAATAAATGTAACGCTAATCCATTTGATGAAAAGTCTAGTAGCTAACATTAGCTGCTGTTGACTGCCCCTTTTCTGTTATCCCGTTTAGTGCACGGTTGGTTTAAGCCTATTCAGCACTTCTACTCCTCTGATGGTCGATGGAAATCTTCCAAAACAATCAGACACATCAGCTGTTCAGCATTTTGACAATAAATTAAATATTCTCTACATAACAAAAGCTAACTTGGCTAATTTTGCAGAACTTCCTGGCCTAGCTGCCATCTGGTTATAGTAAGAGATTCCCCGAAATAGCTACAATTTAACTTGAGTTTCTGGTATTGCGGTCTGGTTAGTCTCTTACTCTGAATTTGGAAGCAAAATGTTCGCTGCTGTGAAACAAAGGACTTGGAAGGGCAGGGCAGAACATTGAATGTTCATGTTGCACCCCTTCCCCCATTTCACTAACTATCTGCTTGTTTATAGGTATTTGACGTCGAAAGCCTGCCTGTTTATCCCTTTTAAGCTTGCGGTACTGCATTGTTTGTAATAACAGTATTCGACAGATGTTTCGTAAATATGTTTGTTACAAATGAACAATAATATTTCCATACAATACATCTGAAAACATAGATAACATTATCTTCCCACATTACAACTGTCTTTTTTCGTTTTATACAAAACAATGATAGTAGTTGTTTGTTTTTCCTGCAGATTTAGTTACGTCAGTTTGCTATGACTGATTGATGTTGTAATAACATGAAACCTTCTATAGACTAAAAATGTTAGTGTTTTCCAGTAGAGAGTGTTGACAAGCTTATTTTTGTTGTTTAACTGTGCAAGAACACATTAACTTATGCTTTTTTACTACAATTTCCTTAAGGGTCCAGTGTATGATTGAAATGTTCTACATTTTCCCACCAAAAATAAAATAACACTTATTTTTTAAATATCCCACCAACCACTTTTGCAACACTTTTATCCATCAGGGATTATTACTGTGACATATTACCTTCATTTCCTAGGGAGCTATCCCTTCATCTTTACTCTGTCAATCGAATCTCATTTTGATTGTATACCATTTTTGTTTTTGATGCTGTCCCTTACATTTTGTTTTTGTATTGGTCTGAAATAAAATTATTTTGTATTTCTACCTTTTCAGGATCCCAGTTGAATGCACAACTAGAAGGCTGGCTGTCTAAAGCAGAGTCCTCCACCAGACCTGCTAGAGCCATCATAGCACCGTAAGCAAACATTGAATAAAATATGTCAAAATAAATCTTTGATGTCTTCTTTGAATTGTACATGCTTTTCTTTGCAGGCATGCAGGGTATACCTACTGTGGTGCTTGTGCAGCATATGCCTACAAGCAGGTTGATCCCTCTGTTACGTAAGTCATTCGGTTTTCATCTCTTTTTCTCCTTGCTTTTAAAAAAGGCTTTATCTTATCTTACATTTCCCTCAGAAGAGTGAACAGATTTGAGTTTAGATAGAAGAAAATATAGTGCTGGTGGTGTGCCTTTTGTGAATAGAGTGAGTGAGATAAAATCCTGTTGCCCTTCAGTCGTAGGGTGTTCATCCTGGGACCTTCACACCATGTGCCCCTCTCCCGCTGTGCCCTGTCACCGGCAGAGATCTATAGAACACCTCTCTATGACCTGAGAATCGACCAGAAGGGTATTCAACGTTTTCACTCATGAATTTGTAACTGTGACTGTTTTTTGTATGCGTGTTTGTTGCTCAACCTCAAATGTTAACACATGCTAACAGGTTCATTATATAGGAAGGTATTTATAAGGTCATGTAGTAGGAAGAATAGACACAGTTCAGGTTTGTCAAGTGTAGAATGTAGTCGAGCTGATCTGAGCAAAGTGCAGACCTTTGGAGGTGAACATTTTTTTTGATCATCCAGGCAGTTCCCTCACTATTAAGATAAAGGGTTTCAATAATCAGGTTTTTTTTAAGCTAGACTCTTATACCTGCAGTAATTTTGTGTGCGGTTCAAAACAATGATTCGATCAGTAGACATGGTCGTTATAACATGCACAAATTAAAGTGAAACTCACCTCTGTTTTACAGTTTATGCTGACCTCTGGAAAACTGGGTTGTTTGAGCGGATGAGTCTGCAGACAGATGAAGATGAGCACAGTATTGAAATGCACTTGCCTTACACTGCTAAAGCCATGGAGAGGTAATGCACATAGGAGTGGCATTCATTGAAACAAAAATAATCGACACTGCATTTGCTGAGACAAGGGTCAAGTTTTTTTCTTAAACAAACACTTTTTTACATTTAGTGCTTCTCAAAAAAACACATTGGGTGTATTCTTGAGCTCTAACAAATTATTTGAATGCATTTACTTCCTCCTAAATCATTTTCTATACTAAGGTGTAATTTGGGCCATTGTAGGTACAATCAAGAATAATTACGGAGACTTTGAAAATACATGACTGTGAATTAGGCCCATTTAGAGAAAAACAACATTGATTTGGATATAATTATTTTGTCCATAATGTTCCATACTGTTACACCTCTTCACTTATGTGGGCGTATGCCATCCCTATATACCGTCTGAATCTGTAGAATGATGACATGGAAATTAACTCAATTGTTTTCCCTTTATAACTTAAGAGAATATTTCTTTTTTTCTACTAGACTTGGTGTTTTTTTCCCCTTGCAGAATTACAAAAAGAAGTGGTACATTTATAGTTTTTTCCCCCAGAATATCACCCTCCTTGTGTGACTCTGTAATTGTTTTTTTGTGCCTATAATTGCCCTAATTGCAAAGCCAGTTTTCAAATCTTGCATTATTTACATCCATGTTAACTTGCCTGCAGTCTCCTTTCTTGTCTTTGCTAGCGCATTGCAGCATATTTTGTCATGTTTGTGTCACCTGGATCAGTCGAAATACTGAGACCATTTGCATGAATGTGTAGTTCTGTTCATTCTTTCATTGTCATTCAAAACGTACTGGCATTCAGAATCACATTGGTTCAGGGACACCTGGAAAGTGTGATGTGCATAATTGATACAGCCTTCTGTCAGGGCTGGCAGGAGTCAGAGGCATTTTCTTGGTTTACTAAAGCAGGGATCGGGTATTATGAAAGTAAAAAGATTAGCATTTTCTCATTAGTCTCAATAATGGATGAAAAATAAACCTGCATTAATGCAGATTTTATTTCCACCCATGGCCATGGGAGAGACCTTTGACAGTGAGGGGCAGATATTGTTGACAAGTTTTTGATTCAATATTGTGATGTTGCAGCCACAAAGATGAGTTTAGCATCGTGCCTGTGCTCGTGGGAGCCCTGAGTGAATCCAAGGAGCAGGAATATGGGAAACTGCTCAGCAAGTACCTGGCAGACCCTTCCAACCTTTTCATTATCTCATCCGACTTCTGCCACTGGGGTAGGTGCCGACAAATTTAAGCACTGAAATATACATGAATTTTATGTTATCATATATTATTCTCCATTTAAAGGAGTATGCTTTGTCATCTGAAGATAATCCTGCCTAAATGTCATAGCTGTGGCATGTCTCTCCTGATACTATGTTTGTTTCTTTAGGTCAACGGTTCCGTTACACATACTATGATGAATCTCAAGGAGAGATCCACAGGTCCATTGAGCATCTTGATAAAATGGTAACCACTAAGCCATATTCAATTCAAATGTGATGATTACAAATAAAAATAAAAAGTCATTCCACAGAAGGTCAGAAGGTACATGGACATAGACTTCTGTTTTGTTTTCTCTCGATCATGAAGTGTGTTTTCTTGAACACACAGCACACAGAACAAAAATGATACAGTATCGTATACATGATTTATTAACAACAAAACAAATCAAAAGATGACCTTTTTTCTGTGCTTGTGAAGGGGATGGGCATTATAGAAACGCTGGATCCAATGTCTTTCACCAACTACTTGAAGAAGTACCGGAACACCATCTGTGGGCGGCACCCGATTGGAGTGCTTCTAAATGTAAGTACCACAGAAGAAGAGCCTTAACGGGTGTATCACTATTTAACATTATGTAGGTATTTGGATGGGGGTTCAAATGACTGCTACTTGCTTGCAGAAATTACAACTGTGAAAACATGAAATACTTGCTTTTAAGAATCCGACCTCTTAATATGAAGAGTATATTCTTACTGCAGACACATCGTTTCAACGTGGAGGAATCTAATCGTGAAAGGATTGGACAATACATATTTGGGGCAGTGCTTTAGTTATCATTCATTTGGCCCTGGAGAACTGTTAAATAACTAAATGATTGTTTATCAAGAGAATAACGCATTGTATCCTTATTGCCTGACGTGCTAATGTTGATGTTTTGCAGGCTGTTGCTGAGCTGAGGAAGTCTGGCTCGGAAATGAACTTCTCTTTCCTGAACTACGCCCAATCCAGCGAGTGCAGGAACTGGCAGGACAGCTCCGTGAGTTACGCTGCCGGGGCCCTCATCGCTCATTGAGGTCGACTTCTGCAGGGGCCTCCGCAGCGTTGTCGCCCTGCCCCTTACTATCTATCGCCATAATCTGACCCAGATACCCTCCCTCTCACCCCAACCCCAGTTACGCCCACCCCTTTGCAGGAAGGACCTAGACACTCAAAGCCAATACAGTCTTCTTTCTCTGTCTCTCCCTCTCCTCCGCCTATCTCCTTGAAGTGCAGTTTTCAGATTACGTAGGCCAAATTGGTTGGAGGAAATGGGAGAGAGCGTAATATTTTGGCTCAGAGTTAGCGTTGGGAAGGGGAACTCTTACTTGGGTTTCGAAGTGAGTTGTAATAATGCAATCTTTACATTTTGGCTCTCGATCTGTGCATATGTAATTTGCCTCCAGAAAGGAATGAAAATAAAACGGCAGATCTTAACAGAGCATATTGCAATTTTGCCGGATAAAAAATAAATGGGTGTTTTGACTGACTGCTGAAAGACACGTGACACTTAAAACAGTTTCATTGGTAATTACTACCAATCCTTAACATATGTTGTAGTTGCTAACAAAGGGCTGCACCCACCAAATTTAGCTAACTCCCTACTGTACAAACCAAAAACATTTATTACTCTTTTATTATTTTTTTCTTTACTCATATTTTATTCCTTTTATTTCTCCCTACCTTTTATATTTTCATTAGACGTGAACGTATTTACTCGAGTAGTGTGTAGATTTTAACAAAAGCAGTGTTGTTACTTAGGCTCGTATATGGCTTGCCCAATAAATTATTGTGTGCAACACTGCTTCCAGATTCCAATTCTATACCTGTAGCATTATAGATATGTTTTTCAGGGGCCAGACTCCAGTTGTGCTACAGTAATGTAATCTAAGCTGGATATCGTGTAAATCACTCCAACACTGACACCTCTACTCTTTGTTTACACTGCCACCTTGAATCTCTGTTGTTATTGAACTGTCAGAAGACTCAAGTGTTAGTTTTATTTTTTAGCTAGGTATCTGGAAAATGTCCTTTGTTACACATGCCATTCTGTGAGAGCAGCTAAACGTATGCTTTACCCCGACCAAAGTGGTTAAGGATTCGATGATCTGCTTGAATAGTTTGAAAATGTAAAAGATCGGTTCATTTGGTATTCATTTACAACTCTTTGTTAATACGTTTTGATCTAAGAATGCCAAACGTTATTGAGAATATATAAGACATCCTTATTTATGTTTGCTTTCCAGCATCACATAGACAAGGTTGGCTATGACGAGCAATGGGTGGCCCAGTTTCAAGATTAGTGCATAGCATAGCATTAGCATACTTTGCTACAAGGTTTAACATAACCTAGAAAGAGACACACATTGCTCCTAGATAAAAAAAGAAATATTTAATTTACAAAATGATAACAATTATTTACAAAAAAAGAAAATATATATTTCCTTTTTAATATAAAATGCTCAAATATTTTTCATAGATTAACAAACTGCATACATATTCTGAATGCTAACACCTCATGACAGTAGTGGCAGTATAGGCTTTAATGACAATATGATATGGATATTTGATTATCTCTGACGCATTAAGCTACAATGTCTTGTTGAACCAAGTGGGCACAGACTGAAAGATGAAATGCTCAGACTCACTTAACTTCTGACGCTAATTTAAGGGAAACTAGTAAAGCATGACACACTGTGCTATTGTGCCTTTTATCACTGTTGTAAACATATAAAGTGTATTCTCACTTTTAGTCTTATTGTAGGTGTACTTTGAGTTTTTTTTTCTTCTACATGTACCCCTGCCTCGTGCCCAACAATATCTCCAGGTAACCCGCCTGGCACTCCAGGAGTGTGTGTGACCTGCCCCCA